AGCGGTACAACGGGGTGGAGGTAGGGGGCTGGTAGGCGGGGGGGAGCTGGCCGGGGTGCCCCGGGAGCAGTACAACGGGGTGGAGGTAGGGGGCTGGTAGGCAGGAGCAGCTGGCCGAGTCCCCAAGGGAGAGCGATGTGGAGGTGAACTGGGACTTGTTCCAGGGCTGGGCTAGTGTAGATTGGATCAGGCTGGGGAGGTATTGCAGCTGCCAAGGAAGGGGACCTGTACCCCCAAGTGGGGCTGGGGAGAGGAAGGGGCCCTTGATCACGGCACTTCTTGCTTTACTGCCTGGCAGGTGATTAGAGGCTGCTGGAGGAGGAAAGCCAAGTCCACTCTAGGGCCTCCCCAGAGAAGAGGGTGGCCAGGGCGGAGGGGCTGTATTCTGCATATGGTGCTGGGGAGTCCTTTGTACCCAAAGAAGTAACCAGTCGGGCATGCTGGCGGAGCCTAATGCTGCAGCCCTTCCTCCCCCCTGCCTACCACCAGTTTCCCTCCGTGGAACAACAGGGAGTGGAGTGGAGTGGAGAAGGGCTGCCTGACAGAAGCCTTAGAGGCAGTGTGCCTAGTGGTTACAGCAGTCACAAGGGTTGTGAGCCAGGACTCCTAGATTTTATTCCTGCTCTTTGCAGGGCCCTGAGGGATTCAGTGAGGTGCCAGAGTTCACCCACTACCTGGGAGGTTGAATTCATACTCCTAGGCTGTGTCTAGACGACGGAGTTTTCTCAGAAAAACAGCCATTTTTCCCAACAAAACTTGAGTTACGTCCATACTGCAAGTGCGTTTTTTGACAGCAAATCGAAAGAACAGAGGCTTTTTGGACAATTGTAATCCTCCTTCCACGAGGAAGAAGCCATCTGGCGGAAGAGCTCTTTCACAAAAAGGCGTGTGTGGACGGGGAGGAGGAGTTCTTTGAGAGGAAGAGGGAAAAGCACAGGTGCCCTGCGGGCTGCTCCGTCCGTAGCAATCACTGCTTACACGTGAGAGCGCGCCCAGGCAGTCTGGCCGCTATCTTTTGAAAAAGCGCATGGCTTTTCCAATGCGCCTTAGCGGTGTGGATATGCTCTTGCACAAGATGTTTTTTTGGAAGATCTCTTCCGAAAAAAGCTGCTTGTGCAAGGAGCCTGCAGTCTAGACATAGCCTTACAGTCCTCCGTGAGGAGCAAAGCACTGGTGTTGCAGTTACAGCAATTGGTGTTTGTGTTCAAGCCACCGAAAGAGCTGCCCGTCCATGGTTTCCCTGGCTGCCATCGCTGGGGTGGCTGCAGAGGGGTGAAAATCTAGCCCTGTTGGTATGGCAGTGTGCAAGCACAGAGGCAACTGAGCTTGTGCAGCAAAAGGAAAACTGGACTCGTTTCCTTTCCAGGCTGGTTTCTGTGCTCAGTCAGGCCCTGGAAGACTGTGCTGAGCAAAAGAAGATGCTAGAGGATAATCTAACCCTGTGCCGGGCCCTCCTTGGAGACTGGTGAGTGGTCAGTGGGTGGCAAAAGCCGTCTGAAATCCGCTAAAGACACCTGCATGGCTGACCGGGTGGGAGGGAGCACAGCCAGCCGCTAAAACTCCGGTGCTGGGGTTTATCCCCAGCTCTGCCACTGACTTTGCAGTAACCCCGTAGAGACCAGAGCCAGAGCCACAGACTAGCTGGCAGACAGTAGCTGGGAGGTAACCAATTGGGCAGCAGAGATAAACTGCAAATCCTGTACCAGGCCTGTTTTGCATCTTCAAAGTAGACACATCTGTGTGGCCTGTTCCCCTCTGCCATGCTTGCAGGAGCAGTGTTGGGATCTGTGTTGCATGCTCCTCACTGGGAGGGGGCAAATGGTTTTCACCCCTTCCCTGGGTGAGAGGGGGCACACCATGAGCTCGGGGACAGCTCAGCTGCTACTGAAACCTGGCTTGGAGGGTCAGCTAGATGTGGAGCCCAAGCTGCTTTTCGGCGTCTCGGACAGCCTCCATCCCCCAGTGTCCATCCCTCAGAGCTTCTGCTGTCGTGTTTCACCAGTACAGAGCCTCTGTGGCCTCATGCTAATAGCTCTCCAGGTGCCCATGTGGGGGGGAGGGAAGTGGGCGCAAACCTACTTCTTTCCTTCGTGCCTGCCCTTCGGCGTCCGGCAGGGCGAGCGGGTGCAAGGCTTGTGCGCAGAAAGCCGGTGCCCTTGGGTCTGACCTTCGGCGTCCAGCAGGGCGAGCGGGTGCAAGGCTTGTGCGCAGAAAGCCGGTGCCCTTGGGTCTGCCCTTTGGCGTCCGGCAGGGCGAGTGGGTGCAAGACTTGTGCGCAGAAAGCCGGAGCCCTTGGGTCTGCCCTTTGGCGTCCGGCAGGGCGAGCGGGTGCAAGGCTTGTGCGCAGAAAGCCGGAGCCCTTGGGTCTGACCTTCAGCATCCAGCAGGGTGAGTGGGTGCAAGGCTTGTGCGCAGAAAGCCGGTGCCCTTGGGTCTGACCTTCGGCATCCAGCAGGGTGAGTGGGTGCAAGGCTTGTGCGCAGAAAGCCGGTGCGCCTGGTCTGCTCTTTCACAAGCTGCTTTTTTTATTCAAAAAAATCCCTGGGATCCAGTGCTGCTTCCTGGCGCTGTGATTTCCCGTGGCTGGGCCCCACAGCCATGCGCTCCTCAGGCAGCCAACCAGAAATGCCTTTGAGTTGCTCCAGTTCTGCGCAGTCCCTGCGCCGGGGCTGGGCTTGTCTGGTTCCATGCCTGTGCTTTTTGTGCTGCTGAAGTGGTTGGCGGGCCTTGCTGGCCTGGATGAGGCGTTAGGCAGACCTCTGCCTCCCAGTTCATGGCCTGCGTCTTCCCCACTCCCAGCTCTCCAGTGACAGCTGCCTTCCTGTGGGGGGGCAGAGAAGGGAGGGATTGACAAATGGGGTGTGCGTGTGCTGGGCTGTCGGGTGCCCCCTGAAATTGTGCTGGCCAGGCCCTGCTCCAGGGCCAGGGGACTGGGACGAGGTAGCGCTGTTCACTGTGGCTGTGAGAGTACTGTGATATCCTGCCTGTGTTCTGGTTTCCTCTCCCCAGGAAGGTGCAAGCTCCTGAGAATCCAGCGCCAGAGGGAGGCCCAAAGAACGCCCAAGGTGAGCCTTTCCTTCTTGCCATCTCTGTGCTGTGGCCTTGCTTGGTCCGGCCGGGGCAGACCTCACCTGCTTCCCAAGAATCCCCTCTCCCCTGCTAACGGGGCCTAATTCTCTTCTGAGCCTCACTGCCCTCCGTGGATTCCCGCCGGAGTCACGCAGAACCTAGCCACAGGCTGAGCGGGAGGGTGGGTCACTGTGGAGAGAAGGAAGTCAGGAGACCCTGATGCGGCTGAGTCCAGGGAGAGCTACATTGCACAGGCAGAGACTGGAGCAGGGGCCTGAAAAGTCCCTTTGCTTCCTTGCTAGAGGCGAGGAATCCAGAGGAGCGAGCCAGTGTGGGAGGAAGGGGCTTGGGCAGTATGGCTTCCTCATGCACCGTCTGCTTTGCAGAGCATGAGCCCTCACCCAAGGAGCTCGAGGAGCTGGAGCTGCTGAACAGAGCCCTGGAGAAAGCGTTAAGAGTCCGGAAAAGCACCCTGCAAAGTCCCACAGAGGGCGTAGGTACTGCAAAAGGGGAAACGTTGGCAGTGAAGAAACCTGCCACCAGCGCTGCTACCACGCCGCAGCCACCCTTGTCTAAAGAGAGTGGCCCTACGCCTGTCCCGGTGGCACCTGTGTGCAAGAAGGCTGCCTCCTCCAAAAAACCTTCGGCTCATATGCTGAGAGCTCCCTACAGGACTGACCCTGTGAGAGCACCAAGCAGCCGGAGCTCCAGGGCTCCCAAGGCGGCTGGGAAGAACTCCGCTAAAGGGGCTGCCCCCCACCGCGTGAGGAAGACGCTGTCAGCTGCCAGCGTGTGTCAGTCCGAGTGCTGTGCTGCCGCAAAGCTGTCTGGCGCGCCCAGACCCCCCCGGCCCCAGCAGCAGAGCGCTGCGTCCTTCGACCGCTCTGCTAATGGCCAGAACTTGGGAGCTGCCATCCAGCAGGGAGCTGATCCAGAGAATGATTGTCCTGGTTCCCCGGCAGAGACTCCAGTGGCACAGAGCCGTACGGCAGGAGAGGTCCCCGCAAGAAGCGCCATGGCCCGCACCTTTACCCTCCAGGAAAAGGGGTACGTTCGGGCAGCAGGCACCGGGAATGTGTGTGGTCAAACTCCGGCTCTCTTATCGACCCCTGCAGGGATGAGCTATTTCCCAGCAGTCACCGGGGCCTAGTTCTTTGTCTTTACTGCCTTTGTAGAATCCTAGAGCGCTAGAACCGAAAGAGACCTCGAGAGGTCATCGAGTCCAGTCCCCTGCCTTCACTGTGTCCTTGGTAATTATCAAGGAGGTCCCAACATTTGGATGCCTAGAACGAGGCGTGGCAGGGGTCTGGGTTTGTAATTTGGATGGCTAATGCCATCTCAAGCAGGATTTTTCCTACGTTGCCTAGCTGTACATCTCTGTTCCAGCTGGAAGCATTTTCCCATGGATTTGTGTCTATGGTGGAATTACCAGTATTGACATTTACTGATAAACAGCTAACCCATCCAAGCCTACCTATAACTTAACCAAACTGAATAAAAATAACTTATTGGAAAGATGTTTCTTAGCCCAGCTGTGACTATTTTGCAAAGTTTTTGCTTAGTAAAATTCCCTTGGATAAAACCTGTTTTATTTTAGAACCTCTCTTTTGTGACTGTTTTGAAAGCCTTTTTTTTTTTTTTACTCCCCCCTCTCCCCCCAATGGCTGCTCACTTAGCACAGCTGACCTAGATTAAATCCCAATGATGACTGATTCTGTTGATGCATTGCAAAAACATATGGCTAATAAAGAGCACCCTGACCTGTCCAGAGGTGTTTCTCCTTGGAATATGTTAGTGACCCCTACACTTGGGGAGAGTCTACCTGGATTTAACATCATTTGCCCATTGATTTCCCTAGAGTTGGGTTTGGCATAAGTAAAAATTGAATTTAGTTGATGATTAAGCTTTTCAAAAGTGCTTAAGTCCCATTGGAAGTCAAGTCACCTAGATGCTTTGGAAAACGTTGGCCAGTTAGAACACTGTCAAATAGCAGGTTGTCGTCACAACCAAATCAGAGCCCTGGTTTAATACAGTGATGCTCAGACTGAGGTTTGGGAGCTGCCATTGGCTCTTTAATATGTCTCCTGCGGCTCTTCCCAGCATCTAATATTAAACACTGTGTGACTGTTCACTAATCCAAGTTAAGTCAGGGTGCTTTTACTAGGTTATCACCTAAGATTTGGTCAGTCATTTGCCTGTGATAGAGATATATGTATAAAAATAGTAAACGAAGCAATGAAGTCCCATGATTTTGGCTGTTTTAGGTAATGCTGATCGTAAGAACAGCCAGGCTGGGTCAGACAAAGGTCCATCTAGACCAGTGTCCTGTCTGCTGACAGCAGCCAATGCCGGGTGTCCCAGAGGGAGTGAACAAAACAGCTAATTATCAAGTGATCCATCCCCAGCTTCTTGCAGAGGCCAGACGCACCATCCCTGCTACTAGCCATCCATGGACCTAGCCATGAATGTATCCATTGTTCTTTGAACCCTGTCGTGGTCTTGGCCTTCACGGCATCCTCTGTCCACAGGGTGACTGCGTGTTGGGTGGGAAAATACTTCCCCCTTGTTTGTTTTTAAACCTGCTACCTAGTAATTTCATTTTGTGACCCCCCTAATTCTTGTGTTATGAGGAGAAAATAATACTATCTTCCCCACTTCCCCACACCAGTCATGGTTTCCTAGATCTGTCTTATCCCCCCCTTAGTGATCTCTTTTCCGTGCTGAAAAGTCCCAGTCTTACTCAGCTGTCCTTTGTGGCAGCCATTCCGTACCCCTCATCGTTTGTATTGCCCTTTTCTGAAACTTTTCCAATTCCGATATCTTCTTTTAGATACAGTGACCACATCTGCGCACAGTGTTCAATGCCTCTGTACAATGGATTAATACATCTTATCCCCCCCTTAGTGATCTCTTTTCCGTGCTGAAAAGTCCCAGTCTTACTCAGCTGTCCTTTGTGGCAGCCATTCCGTACCCCTCATCGTTTGTATTGCCCTTTTCTGAAACTTTTCCAATTCCGATATCTTCTTTTAGATACAGTGACCACATCTGCGCACAGTGTTCAATGCCTCTGTACAATGGATTAATACAGAGGCAAGGGGGGGGGGAGTGGGCGGGGTGTCTATTTCTTAACGATTCCCAAAATTCTGTTGCTGTTTTTTCTGGACTGTCACTGCACACTGAGCAGCTGCTTTCTCAGAGAGCTATTCACAATGACTCCAGGATCTCTTTAGTAATGGGTTCAGCTAAATTAGACCCTGCCGGTTTGTATGAATAGTTGTGGTTAGATTTTGCCATGTGCATTATTTCGCATTTATCAACATTGCATGTCATTGGCCATTTTGTTGCCCAGTCTCTCCCCCCTCCCCCCGCCCGTCGTCCCCTCGGCAGCGTGCCGGGTTCTCTGATCCTGGAACGTGTGTGGTCCATGTTGCTGGACCAGGGAGTCCCAGTTGACAGAGGTGCAACCTGTACTGAAGTTAGGCTCCCGGCTTGTAATTGCAGGGATTGTTTCTGGAGCAGTTAATTTGGCTTCTGAGCCCCAGAGGTGTGAGGATTGCTGCGGTAACACACGCCTGTACTGTTCCCGGGGCAGGGCCGCTCACACGGGACTGACGCCAGCTGGAAATGCGGAGTTGGGATTGCTGCTGCTGCCATAGCTTAGCTGCCCCTGTCTGCATGGAGGCCAGAGATAAGCCTGTTCACAGGGGACTGCAGTGTGCATAAGGAGACCTGATCACTGTTGCTGGGGGAACCAGAATTGGAATATGCCGATTAATGTAAATCTTCGTTACTGTGACACTGCAGCGCCTGCTGGGTGCGCGAGAGCTCAGAGAGCTGTAAACAGGCAGCCCAGGTTTTGCGAAGTAACTTGAGAGAGAAATTCAGCTCCCCATGAGGCAGGGGAGACACCGCGCCCCCATTTTCCTTCCACTTCCTGAGGTGTCCCTGAGGCTGCCTTGGAGCGGTGCCTTGGGGGCAGCTGGGATGCTGGTGGTTAGTGAGAGATTTCCCTGAGTCCATCCTGCATCAACCTGCCGTGGCCATCCCTTGAGCTGGGGCAGCCTTCCTCCTGCAGCTGCGGGTAAATGCGGCTTCCCCCCCTGTGCTCCCGCATGTGGGATGGGATCGCCCAGGGTTTGGACACGCACAGAGCCTCTCCCCGTCAGCTGGCCACCCAGCCCCCCGACTCAGGGCCACAGACGGTCGTGGCTCGTCTTAGGCTGCTCAGTGCCCACTAGGGGCCCTCCTGGTCCCGTTCTGCCAGGCTCGCTGGAGGTGAGCGATGGGTCAAGTCGGGGTAGGCTGGTGCTGGCCAGCACGGTGTTGGGTTGATGCGTGGGGGGGCTCAGTCTCCAGCGCTCAGCGCTACCCCATTGCAAATAGAGCATGGTTGCTGAGAACTGGGGGGCTGCTCCTTGGCACCTGTTACTCATGGCTCTCTTCTGTGCAGGTCTGTGCGACTCCGCCGGGGCCTCCCCCCGTCAGCTGGCCACGCCGCCCCCCGACTCAGGGCCACAGACGGTCGTGGCTCGTCTTAGGCTGCTCAGTGCCCACTAGGGGCCCTCCTGGTCCCGTTCTGCCAGGCTCGCTGGAGGTGAGCGATGGGTCAAGTCGGGGTAGGCTGGTGCTGGCCAGCACGGTGTTGGGTTGATGCGTGGGGGGGCTCAGTCTCCAGCGCTCAGCGCTACCCCATTGCAAATAGAGCATGGTTGCTGAGAACTGGGGGGCTGCTCCTTGGCACCTGTTACTCATGGCTCTCTTCTGTGCAGGTCTGTGCTGAGGCTCCCGCTTGCCTATCGGAAAGCCTACTCCAGGAATGGCAGGTAAAGCCATTGCGGCCGGCCTGCGCGGTGGTGGAGGGAGGGGCTGGGCTCTGCAGCGTTGGGGGGCATTGGCAGGACTGTGCGCAAAGCTGGGGGCTGCGAGTCAGACCCGAGGGACCATGGCAGAGCTGTGCCCAGGAGCTGGCACTGGCCTGCCTGTGGAATTCTAGCCACCGCCCCGGCCAAGGGCGCTAATGCTCACAAAATTCACCCCCCGAAGAGCCCTGCGCTGTAGCCTGTGGAGACCTTTGCAGTGGCGCAAACGGGTTTGCAAATGCTCTGTGGTCGAAATTAGAGACCATCCCCAGCCAGACCAAGGGCGGATTTTCCACATCCCGAACAGTGTGGCTGGGAGATCTCACCCAGTGGGCTCCGTTAACCGGTGGAACAGTCCAGGCTCAGCAGAAATCGGACTGGAAGCAGCAGAGTCCTGTCCCCTGTGAATCTATCATGCTCCATCTGAAAACTAGTGAGGCTGTTCCAGAACATCCCTCTGCGGGCGGCAGAACCCTTGTTATTTCCAGTCAGAATTCAGGGCCGGAGGACACGTGTCTGGTCCGGACACTGCGCCTCGTGAGAGATCTGTGCAGCGTCCCAAACAATTTCTCCTCTTCTAGGGAACTGGCACCTTCCAGATCTGTGGTGGGCAGCCTGTGGCTCCCGCCCCCCCCTCTGGCCCCCCGCGGCCTCTCTTGTGCCCTGGGCCCCCACGCTTCCTACATTCCCCGCCTCCCAACTCTGTCCCAGCACTTCCAGAGCCTGCAGATCCCTTGATTTCCTCCCTCCCTGCTCTTCCCCGAGCTGCAAATCAGCTGCTCGCGGCTGCTGGGCTCTGGGAGGGAGGGGAGAGATGGGCGGAGGGTGAATCGGCAGACCTGGGGTGCTCCAGAAGTGCAGGGCTCTGGTGTCCCAGCGCACGAGGTGAGGGGGAAGAGAGCCGCAGGTGGAACCCCAGGGGCCGCAGGCTGAATGGAAGAGCCCTCTTCCTGGCTCGGAAGTCTTCCCTCTGAGGAGCTGGCGGCCCCAGGTGCTGGAATACTGTGGCGCAGGCGGGAAGCCGTGTTGCCTGTGGATCTGACTTTCCCTGTCTTGGCTTGCAGGCTGGGGGAGAAGTGTCATCTCAGCCAGAGTAGCCCCACCGCAGCTGCTGCGCAGAATGGCTTCCTAGAGCGAGTGCAGGCAACTGTATCCTTTCTGGCCTCTGCTGCCCCTCTCAGCTGGTGGCCTGCAGCCGGATGGGCAACCTCTGCCACACATTGGAGAGGCCCCCAGGAGCTGTGGCTGTGGCAGTCTCACCCGGGGATGCAAAATCCCATTTCATTGGTTAATGCTACATTTAACTGGTTAACCGATTAAAAGCCAGGAGGGCAGAGGGGACCACTCCTGCCAGGGGGCGGGCGGGGGGCTCTGGCAGCCCTGCACAGGGGTCCGGCAGGGATGGAGCAGCCCTCTGTCTGCAGCATCACCCGCTAAGGGCGATGCTTACTGGGTGTCCACTACGGAGAAGTTCCACTCCAGCAGCACGTGGGGCTGGGAGTGCAGACAGACCGAGCCTCCCTCATCGCCTCCAGGCTCTGCAGTGTCAGCTTCTGTGCTGCTTGCCCTGCGTGGCTGTCCGGGGTCCTTAGGACCCCAGCGCAGGGGGGAGGGTGGGGACCAGAGGAAGGGATTTAAAGGAAACCTCCTTAAGCTGCTGTAAGTTTTGTTCCTCTGCACCAGCTCTGAGCCCTGCAGAGCTAGAAGAGCAGGTGACGGTCCTGCGCGATGCCCACTCTCTCCTGAGCCAGTCCCTGGAAGCTGAGAGCACAGGTAAGAAGTCCATGAACAGCAGCTCATGGTACTTCCCTGCCCGCCTGTGTCTTGCCAGGTGTACTCACCGCTGTGGGGCGATGGCTGGGCAGCTGACGGTGCCTCCAGAGCAGGGCAGGGATCTGTTGCTGGCTGGCCTGGGGCGGGGAAGCAACAGGATCACTGAATCGTGATATTTCTGCGGAACCTCCTGCCTCTGGGCCCACTCGCTTTTCCCGCTGCTTTTCCTCCAGGCCACTCGGCGTGGGAGCGGGAGTACGAATGTCTCCTGACCTTGGAAGGCCTGCAAGATGCAGCAGCCCAGTGCCTGCACAAGCTGCAGCTGCTGCGCACAGGTGAGGCCGAGATCTGCTGTGATGGGCAAGTGTCTAAACCGCCTGCCCTGCTGGAGCGAGTGCGCGGTGCTGGGGATTAGCCTGAGCCCCGTGGCGGTAAGAACGTTTCCAAGATGCAGCTGAGGGAGGGGAACTTATGGGGGGCGGTGTTAATGTTGCCAGTGGTTAAAGAGACTAGTCTAGCATTATGTATACGAGTTTGTTGCCATAAACTTGTGCATAATTCATGGCCAGGTCACAGTAAAAAAAGAATTTTGCGCTACAAAACTCGTCCTGCTGCAATGTGATCAGAAACCTCATTTATTAACACAAGCAGCCTTGCTTTTTAAGTTAGGCGAAGAGGAAGCTACATACCAAATGTGTGGGCCTGGCTCTTACCGTTGGGGCGCTCTTGAACAGACCGACGCACAGACGGACGCACCCTAAAATATTGACACATGGGCTAGTCCACGGAACCCTAAATTTGCCCAAAGTTCTGGAAGAGCGAGGGGAGCTTGCTGATTCTATTTGCACCTTCCCACCCCGACAGCTGCAGCCGCCCAGATGGCTCTGCAGCCCGCAGCCTGTGGTTCCGGTGCGGGGCCCTCCCCTGCAGGCTGCACGCTGCTGCGAGGACGGAGGTGTGGGCAGATGGGCGTCCTAGCAAGGCCTCTCCTTTTCTACTCCACTGGCCGGGAGCTGAGGGACATGGCTGCCTTGAAACTGCGGGTAGCAATGCTGCGCCAGAAAATCAACATCCAGAAGGTAACTGGACAGAGAAGATGTGGGGTGGAGGGGCCAGCCGCAGAGTCAGTTCTAGCCTCGCTGGTCCCCAAGCCATGGGCTTTACTCTCCCACCCGTGTCCTGCCGCCCTCTCTCCTGTTTCCTGTTATCCTGGAGGTGCTGAGAGCAGTTCCCATGGGCGCCACGGGGGGGCAGCACAGCGCCAGGATTGGCATGGTCACACCAGCGCTAGCTTTGGTCGGGCAGCACCAGCAAACTTTTCAGGGGCTGCCCCAGCCCTCGTTCCCATGCCGGGGGGGCTGCCCCTCAGCAGCTGCTGTGTGTAGGGGTGTCCTGGGAGCCCACTAGGGCTGGAGGAGCATAACTGTTGACGTGGTTTTTAACCAATAAGCATCAGCATATTGGTGTCTGTTACGATTGGGAGCTGGCTTCCGCCCCGTGCTCCTGGCTCGGGATGAGTCTGCCGCGCAGGCACGTCTGGCTCCCTGGCCAGCGTGAGCTGGCTCCAGGTGTGCTCCGGCTCCTGGCTGGTAGCCCTGCTCCCTTATACCGCAGGGCCTGCCGCGGGGGTCCAGCTGACGGCTTAGACGGAACGGCTACGCGGCTGTTTCCCTGTCTGTGGCTCCGGGAGCCAGTCAAGTTTGAAATGAGTCTAGGGTGGGAAGCAGCTTCTGGGAGGCGCACGGACGCTGCCAGTTGTGTTCCCTCCCCTGCCTCCCACCTGCTGTTTGCATGGCCTTGTCCGTGCCCTTTCCAGCGGCTCCAATGTTCCCAGCTGCCCCCCTGCTGCGGTGAGACAGAGGGGCAGGACTGGCCAGTACATTGTGGGGGTGTGGCAAGGGAGGAGGGCTGTGTGTTCCAGGCCCTAGCAGGTGTTGGGGGCAGCGGGAGCCGTGGGTTCCTGTCCAGCCCCTCTCCAAGGAACAGAGAATAGACACTTGGATAATGTTAAATCTGACCGAGGAACCTGCCCGTCAGCAGTGTGGCTGTCACCCCCCTTCCTTCCTGCCTGGAGTTTGCTGCACCAGATGGCCATGGGGCAGCCCTGGAACATGCTCTGCCCTTCACTTGCTGCTCTGTTGTTGCTTCCACCCAGGTCTCAAGAGCCGAGCTCCTCTCCATTCTGGAATCCCGGCGCCCAGGGGAACCGCCCCCCTCCCTTCTGTACCGTGCCGTGTACACCCAGCTCTGTGAAGGAGGTGAGCGGTTCCCTGTGCTGATGAGCGACGAGCTGCCGGAGTGACCCTGCACCCTGGCTGCCGGCCGGCTCCACCCGTATAGAAATCAACTTTTGTGATAACTTTTCCGTGGCCCCCTTGTCAAACCAAACCATTAAATGTCATGCTGGTTTGTAACTCCATTCCTCTGACGCCATCCCGTCCTCATCAGGGAGCTGAGGGCGCTGAAGCACCACACCATGGGCAAAGCCTTCCCAGGGCCTTCCTATGAACAGTGAACCTTTTGCCTAGCTCACCTGCAGCTGGGACCCTGGCTGAGCCACAGGGGTGCTTGGGTGGAAGTGTCCGGGCGCTGCTGAGATGGGTCACTAGATGGTGCTCTCACCCCCTGCCCCAGTCCTGGATGATGCTGGAGGAGCTGTCTCTTGGAGACCTACCGACCTATGGCTCTTGTTCTAGGATCGGCAGTTTTAACTCCTGGTGCCCAGGGCAAGTTCCAGCATGGGCATTGCAGTCAGCCTCCCTAGCTCCCCTGCATTTAGAATTGGGTACTGCGGTGGTTTCCTTTTCTGTCTCTAAACGTGGGGGGGGGGGGTTGCTGTGCTCGGAGTCAGTGCAACTCTCTAGAGAAGGGCGACACCTCCCCGGCTGTGAACGCTCTGTGATCCCACTGGACGAAAGGAGCTCGCATGTACAGTGTAGCACTGTCCTCACTTCCCAGACGGCCGTCCGGGCACACCCCAGCAGAATGCTCTCGTTGCTGTAGGGTGTCTTGCACTCCGAGAAGAATGACTGACTGCAGTGTCTTCTCTAGCACTGAAGAACTGTAGCAAAAATGAGCATATGGCGAATCAGTGGTTCTTAATACTGCTGTACCCATTGCTAGGCTACTCAAAGTTCACTCAAAATTAGGGTTGTTGATTAATTGCAGGTAAGTTTCTTGCAATTAATCCCATTTTAATTGCACTGTTAATCGACAGAATGCCAGTCGACACATATGAAATGTTATAGGGTATTTTTCTGCATATATTGATTTCAGTTACCACACTATAGCGGGTATGTTGCTCACTATATTTTGATTGCAAATATTTGTACTGGGTGAACATAACAGTGTTTTCAGTTCACCTCATACAAGCACCATAGTGCAATTACTCTATCATGAAAGTGCAACTTACAAATTTCAATTATTTCTTGCTACGTCGCTGCACTCAAAACCAAAATGATGTCGAACTTTAGAGCCTACAAGCCCACGCTGTCCTATTTATTAGGCTAGTCACTGAGACAAACAAGTCTGTTGACATTTATGGGAGAAAATGCAGCCTGCTTGTTTACAGTGTCACCTGGAAGTGAGAACAGGCATTCGCATGGGACTCTTGTAGCTGGCGTTACAAGGCATTTACATGTCTGATATGCTAAACATTCATCTGTCCTTTCCTACTTCGGCCACATTCCAGGGGATGTGTTTCCATGCTGATGATGCTCATCAAAAAAGCGTGTTGAATATGTGACTGAACTGCGTGGAGAATTGTCTGTTTCCTACTGTTCTACCCGCATTCTGCCATCTCTGTCCTGTTGTAATGGCGTTGGATGATGACTCAGCACACGTGATTTAAGAACACCTTTGCTGCAGATTTGACAAAATGCCAAGAAGGTACCAATGGGAGATCCCTGAAGCTAGCTATAGCACTCAACCTTAGGGCCACCACAAAAAAAGAAAATCAACCATATGCTGGCAGCCTCTGACTCAGATGATGAAAGCGAGTATGTATGGTTTGCATTGATTGGGATCATCATACAGCAGAACCTGTCAGTATGGACGCATGTCCTCGGGAATAGTGGCTGAAGCGTGAAGGGACGTATGAAAATTTTTTAGCGCATCCAGCACCTAAGTATCTTGCGATGCCAGCTATGCCAGTGCCACGTGAAGACTTGCTCTCACTGTCGCAGGGGCAGAACAAGAAGTGTGCAGCCTTGTATTTCAGATCTTACTGAAATGCATGCTCGCAGTCTCCAATTTCTTTTAAAAGAAAGTTAACGTGGTTAAAAGATCACTGCACAGACAGATCTGAATAACATTCTTGGGTCCGTTTCAGAGCACAGCTGTTGAGCTGCTGATTCGTAACCATCCTTCCAGAGTCCCTTCAGTAGGCTAGAGTGCAGTAGGCAGGCCGGGGGTGGAGTCTGTTGAAATGTTTTCAGGAGAATTTGCAGAGATAATCCAGGCCGCCCTCGGAGACCAACTTCTGAGTTCAATTTCCCTTGATGAAGTGTAAACAGAGTGGGGTGGAAAGGTCCAGACTGAAAACTTCCTTACCAGTTCTCGAGCAGATTGATAGCCTCTTCGTAGCAGCAGAGACCTTCCCCCATGAAGGATAGGCACTGTATGTTGGTGCTTGGAAGTAAATCCCTATGCCCTAAGCACCCACTAGCCAATTGCGTTGATTAGAACAGGACCTGTAATTCAAGCCCTGCAAAGCTGCAGGTATGTGTAGCTGTGGATGTCAATGGGGAGAGCTGTGGATAATTTTTGTGGATGCGGATACAAATGTTGTAGCCGCACAGGGCTCTACATGTAACCAGTGAAATGGGTCATACATTGTCTTCTACAAACTGCAAAGAGATATAAAGCCCATGTGGCCCTGCAAGTTTTATCTCAATGTTCCTATTCCCTTTTGCTCTCTGAACCAACAGCCTGTAGCAATGAAACATTCCACGCGCACGGAACGCTAGCATCTACAAGCTAGCTCCATCACACTGTTAATCGTAACAAGATCCAGGTAAAGACCGGGGTGGGCAAAATACAGTCCATGGGTTTGATCCAGCCCTCCGCGCCTTAAGATCCAGCCTGTGCTTGCTGGGACCCTCAGTGCTGCAGCCTCCGACTGCTCAAAGCAGCTGGCTGCTGGGACACAGTACTTCAAGGATTGGGGTGGGGGTCGTACACAAAGTCTCCCCCCCCCCGGCCCCAGCATGTGGCACAGAGAGAGGCACGTGGCCCCAGCAGCTGGCTACTTTGAGTGGCCTGGGGCTGTGGTGGGTAGGGAGCCTGCCTGGAGGGCTGCTGGCTGGAAGATGCCTAGGTAAGCGCCTCCCAGCCAGAGCCTTAATCTGCCCCTCCAGACCCTCCCCCAGCTCACCACCCAACCCACCTGCACCCCCTCTCCTGTTCTGCCCCGCATTACAACACCCTTCCTATATCCCTCCCCTAGGCCAGAATCCTCTCCAACACCCCTCAGACCCTACATCCCAATTCGCTGCCCCTGGCCAATGCTGATGTTCCCTCTAATCTTTTCCAGCCATGTGCAGAATAATTTTTTCTAGTGCACAGAGGCCTGTGTGAGTGCACACCACCAACAGAAACAAAAATCTACCTGAGGGCCCTCTGCTAATTAGCTGGGAGCTATTTGAATCTCTCCTGTGTGGCCGCACGAGCACAGTTTACAGAGGACACTAGTCACAATCCCTTTCGTCAACCAAATTCCCTCTCAGACCCCATATCCTCTCCTGCACCCCACTACCCTACCCCAAGCGCCCTTCTGCACCCTCTCCTGCCCCAGGCCCTCAAACCTTGTCCCAACCGCCGTCCTTCATAGAAAAGTGCCACTCTTGAGCACTTACCAACATCCTGAAGTGGTTCCTCATCAAGACGAATTGCTCACCCCTGCAAGAGACAGACAAATACAGTTGGTATTGATTCTTAACCCCCTGCCAACACAGCTCTGCATTTCAAGGGCTTTACTTTATCTAATGCAGCTTTGCTAACTGTTTTCAAGGCATGACCCTGTTCCCATTTCAGTACTTCTGTGGGATTTCCTGAATGGTGGATTTGGAGTCACTTAGCCTGCTGGCTCCCCGGTGTCACATATTGTGTCCGTTTGTTTCAGGGTCCTGGCCTGTCCTGTCTGGTGGGTTTCTGAAAACAGAGCCGGTGGCCATGGAGGCCTTAGCCCAGCAGCTCCAGCCCCCTTGTTTGGCCGGGTCTCGTAGGGGCGCTAGCCAGTCTCCAAAGACTCCTGTCCCCCTTAGGCCCTTGTACCTGTGGCTCGAAGGGCTAGCTCCCTCGGGGTTGAAGTATCAGTGATGCCAGCCATCAAAGGCCTGGCAATCAGCTCTTTGGTGCTGCTCAGATGTTAGCAGCCTGATGTCTTGGTAACTTGATGGATGCAGCCTTTGAAAAGGCAGCGCTCGTTTCCCCTAAGGCCCAGGCCTTGTGCACGGGACTGGCCAGGGCGGAGACTTTGGCTCGAAGGGCTAGCTCCCTCGGGGTTGAAGTATCAGTGATGCCAGCCATCAAAGGCCTGGCAATCAGCTCTTTGGTGCTGCTCAGATGTTAGCAGCCTGATGTCTTGGTAACTTGATGGATGCAGCCTTTGAAAAGGCAGCGCTCGTTTCCCCTAAGGCCCAGGCCTTGTGCACGGGACTGGCCAGGGCGGAGACTTGGGCCCTGATCCTCAAAGCCAGTAAGGGCTCTAACTTGGTGAAATCAGTCACGGGTCTGGGCCAAGTCGCCTGCCCGCAGAACACGTCTGCGCAATGCTGCTATGACTCAGGCTGAGCCTTTTAGCTGAAAAGACAAAAGCCTCCGGGAAGCTCAGCTTCCGTGGTGAGCATCCTCCAGATCTGTTCAATGCGGGGGGGTTAGTTATTTTGGTACAGGGGTGGGCCGGTGGCCCCGTGCTCTGCACTTGGCTTTTAATAGAAGGAAAGACGTAAGGAAATGCAAGTGGGAGCCTTGCAAGTCTTTACCACACAATGTTCCCTTCTCTGCCTTTGTCTAATTAGCTCCAGTTGCCTTTTTCAGACGCTCCAAGCGGCGCAGCATCCAGCCCCTTCCCTGCAGCTCCTCCACAGCCCAACGTTGATTCTTTGCCCACCCGACGCCCCTTTCAAGGATCTCCAGGCGCTGTTCCCGCCTCTGCTACCAGGCACTGCGTATTTCGCGGATGGAAGAACGGGGCCTGGAGCAATTCAAGTGTTGCAGCAAGTCCGTGGATGAGCAGAGAGAGCCCCAATTGCCTGAGTCCCAGTGACACACTCCAACCGCTAGACCGTACTCCTATGTGCCCAGGAGCTCTTACTGCTGGGACCCACTCCAGGGCAGAGTGCTCAGCCTGATGGCTGTTTCCTGGGCGAAGCTCTGCCCCAGGGCAGGGACCCTGGGCTAGGCACAGCTGGCGGAGCACTGTCTAGATGAAGGTTTCTAACCACCCGGGAGGGAGGTTCTGGAATGGGCTCAAGGGGAGCAGCGGAGGCAACACAAGGGAAGGAAAAAGTTGTTAAAAAATGTAACGGCGTAACTGCTGAAAACCAGCGGCCAGCCATACCGCAGGCTCTGCAGTAGGGCGCCTCAATAAGCTTTATGCGGCAGAGCCCGCAGCGGGGCCTCCTGGACCGCCGATGATCCTGGCATTGAGGAGTCTTGCGCTTTCTGGCTCCTGCCTGTGCCTTGAGCATCAGTGTGATGCGGTGCGCAGGCGAGGCCTGGAGGGACAGCAGCAGCTGGAGTGGGTGTCCGAAAGGGCAAGCAGGGGTCAGGACTGAGAGCATCCCCTTAGGAATGGCTGGCCTGCCGGGGAGGGCAGGCCCTGAGGGGTGAGCTCCTGGGGACAGATAGGGTGAGGCAATAGCTGAGCTGTTTCACTAGTGTTAAAATACAACAGGTTACCCGGAAGCGGATGGAGTAAACAAGCTTCTGTATCACAGCTAGACCTTCTGCCTCAGCTCCCCCTCGGGACCGGGCAGCTACGCCCTTTTACCTCAGCATGTGGATACTCTTGACCGTTACATCACCCGCTCAGCCCTCGTCTGGTCATGTGAACACCCATCTAATGCATAATCAGAGCCATGTGATGGATAGAATTCTGCCCACCCCCGTTTACTGTTTCCAGCTTTGTAGTTGTTTTTTTCACATCACAATGCTCCTTGAATTGGCAGCCTACAAGAGGAAAAGGAGCTGTGGCCCTGCGTGTGAATTGCAGGGTGACCGGGGACGGGGAGGGGGCCAGCAGGACAGCATGGTTAGCACAGAGATCATTCATAAAAAGTTATAGCCTGGCTACAGCTGTAGCGTATCTACCCTGAGCAAGCAGAAAAGGAGGAATCAAAGTGAGTCTATACAGTAATTACTCGTTTAACATGTGCACATTTAACACGTTTTCACAATAGTACGATTTTTTTAAGGGAACGTTTTCTGAATAACACGACCATCCCTCAAATAACACAAAAATAATCATGTGGCGGACTACTTTGCGCGGCGGTCTAAGTTGGTGAAAACAATGTTACGCATGAGCGGATAAATACATGTGTCCCAGCGCTCCTCCACTCACTCGCGTGTTTATCTTTGTGTTTTAACAATCCGCGGCGATTTGTGTTGCTAGTTTTCTTGTGTTGCTAGATATCTAATGTTGACGTTGACAACCCAGCACCAACAAAAAATTGGACTTTGCCACCACCACCTGAAACGCAACCCCCACCTTTTTCATTATTTTAATGGGAAAATTGACCCCGCATAGCAGGTTTCTGCTGCCATGACTGGTTTTCGCAGTTAATATCCCAGTCAAACACTGATGGTTACTGGTCATAGCTTGAAAGCACATTCCAGAAGGGTGGTGCCAGAACACCTTGTTAAGAAGCACCTTGGTGCCCACAGATACCAGAGATACTGACCCAGGGTCCAGCGCTGACAGCATGATGGAGAGATGTTTTGATCCACTGGGTGCAAGGTGATGGGCGGTATCTGGGTAAGTCAGAGGATGGCGCCCTGATAATCAGGCCCTATCACACCGCCCTTACGAGAGCTATCCCTCAGTGGGATGCCTTGACTGAGCAGTCTGCCCGTGTGAACGGTACATGGTGGGGCCCCGGGAGGTACCATGCCCATTCCACAGATCATCTGAAGGGCTGTCCGGGACGGCTACGCAGCACAGTACAAGCGTTTCCAAAGCAGCGCTAATGTGAGGGGCAAAGCTGCTTTTTGAATGGATGGAGATCCCATTTTGTCCACTAACATTTAAAAATAATGCCCCTCCCGTGATTCACGCCAGTTCACTCCGCACATCACTTGGTATTTCCGACTAAAGCAGCAGCAGCACACTAATTGCATGCTCCCAGTGGATGACGCTGGTTCTGTCGATGCCCTCGCCCTCTAATGGATGCAGATGTGGCTCTGTCTGCAAAATGCTGCCGATTAGCTTTGTCATTTGCATTCTCATTCCATTGTGAGTTTGTAACACTGAAAATAAAATGAGCAGTTGCCACTTGCCCCATTCTTTCTCTGTTATTTTCATTGAGTGTTTGGTGACTGGTAGGCTCTGATATTGGGTTGCCAGACAACCAGAAAAAAAGATGTGATAGAAATGTAGCCGTGTTAGTCTGGGGTAGCTGAAGCAAAATGCAGGGCAATGTAGCACTTTAAAGACTAACAAGATGGTTTATTAGATGATGAGCTTTCGTGGGCCAGACCCACTTCCTCAGATCAAAAAACCTGATCTGAGGAAGTGGGTCTGGCCCACGAAAGCTCATCATCTAATAAACCATCTTGTTAGTCTTTAAAGTGCTACATTGTCCTGCATTTTGCTTCAGAAAAAAAGACAAGAGCATTTCTTAAGGGAATGAGTGGACAGCTTCTAACATAGCCTGGCCGTGGCATTAGAAATATACAACAGGGTCTAATTTAGCCTGGGGAAGACAGACAGGATGACCTAACAGTTCTTTTCCAATTCCTGGGAGTGCAGGAAAGTGGCCATGGCCTTTCCCTATAATGAATGAATCCATTACTTCAAAGGCCATCACTACGTCTGGAGTCAGGCAGCCTCGCCCAGTGCATGGCAGTCTGGCCCTGGTTGCTCTCCTGATTTCCTTCCTTCTGTGAGGTGCCAAGTCCGTGCTGCCGACACGCAGCACTGAGATGCTCCGAGAGAGCCACGCCTGGAGTGTGAGGCCACAGCTGAAAATAGCAAAAGGATGTCACCTAGCAACTTGTCACCATCTCCGAAGCCTTTGTCGGAGGGCCTAAAGGTGACACAGCTGCTAGTTCACATCCACACTTCCTGCTGCTGCTGTCTGATTAGGGTGATTTTTCCTTCCCCTTTTCTAAATCATAGACATTAGACATGGAAAAGGCCTGTTCAGTCGTCCAAGTGCCTCCCACCAAAGACAAGCCCAGGGCCATGCCTAGCAGTCCGTTCTTCTCTGCTTTCTCCAGCTTGACATGGTGTAAGCACTAAGCTACCCAGGTGCGGGCTCAGGATAATAACCCGAACAGAAGGCAGCTGATTAGAAAAAGTAGCCTCTTTTGCTCCTCTTAGGAGGTTATTCCGCTGTCTCTAAGCAGTCGCCCAGTCAGAACATTTTTCCTGATATTCACGCTACATTCTCCTGTGCTTGCTTGGACCTACACAACTGCTGTTTCATTGTAGAGTTTTTAACGTGGTATCACAGGGCGGGCTGTGCTGCTTTTCCTCCCTGTCTGCCGGCCAGTCGGCAAAACCCACTGAAATGCTACAGCACAACTGTCTGTGTAGCTGAAGACTGAAAACACCATGGCTACGTCTACACTGGCACCCTTTTCCGGAAATGCTTAAAACGGAACAGTTTTCCGTTATAAGTATTTCCGGAAAAAGCGCATCTACATTGGTAGGATGCTTTTCCGGAAAAGCACTTTTTCCGGAAAAACGTCCGTGCCAATGTAGACGCGCTTTTCCGCAAAAAAGCCCCGATCGCGAAAATGACGATCGGGGCTTTTTTGCGGAAAAGCGCGTCTACATTGGCACGGACGTTTTTCCGGAAAAAGTGCTTTTCCGGAAAAGCATCCTACCAATGTAGATGCGCTTTTTCCGGAAATACTTATAACGGAAAACTGTTCCGTTTTAAGCATTTCCGGAAAAGGGTGCCAGTGTAGACGTAGCCATGGTGTTTTCAGTCTTCAGCTACACAGACAGTTGTGCTGTAGCATTTCAGTGGGTTTTGCCGACTGGCCGGCAGACAGGGAGGAAAAGCAGCACAGCCCGCCCTGTGATACCACGTTAAAAACTCTACAATGTTTCACGGGGGAGTCCTAGTGCATCCCAGCTTTGGAGCAGGGAGTTAACAGTGGGTGGGCGGGCAGGTGGGTGGCCCAGTTGTCAGGTAAGTGTCTTGCCATTGCTGTGAAAATCGGTTCTTCTCTAGCCAGCTGTAAGCCAGCTTGCACTCCCCTTTGATCAAACTACCCCTCCCCCATAGGACTGGCTCATTCACACCCCTGTGGTGCTATCACTCCAGTGACTGAAACGGAGCCACCTCTAAGTCACACCCGTGTAAATGAGATGAGCCTCAGGCCTTCGTTTCTGACTGCTGGAATACCGAATGGTGCCAGTAAAACGTGGCTGCGCATGGCAATCAAAGGGGCTGCAGTGGTTTTTGTTCTGCTCGAGGGCACTGGGTGTCCTCTCTGTCCTGAGGGCATGGGGAGAGCTGCCACCCATCCCCGTGGCAGCCGGGTCAGGGGGTGGGGAAGGGCAGCGAACGTATCTCAGCTGCTGCGGTGTGAGTCACAGCCCCAGCTGCACTCTTCTCTCCGTGGGAAGCGGGAGGGGGCCCAGGAGCACATCAGCCTATTTCGGCTGCTAAAATGACAGCTCTGGGTTGCTGCAAGAGGGGGGCATGGAGGAAGTGGGCGGAGGGCCCACGTGGGGCAAGCCCCCACAGCCCATTTCCTGCTGCCTCCTTGGTGTGTCCTGAGGCTTCATGAATGGTTATAAAGTACGTGGCCACCCTTGCATGCCAGGTGTCATAGGCACACAGGTATTACTCCTGGGGGAATTCTACGCCACTGCGTGTGTGCAGAATTCATGTCCCCGGCAGATTTCTCAGCTTCCCTGCAGAGAAATGGCTTTGCCAGAGAAGCCAAGGGAAGGGCACACCATTTCCTAGCCATGCAGACACATCGTTTCAGGCATGTGGAGCAGCCAGCAATGGGGTAGATCCCTGTAGGGCTGGGGCAACCCAGCCAATGACTCCTACCCTGAGCTGGAATCAGTGGCCAGTCCCCACTGGGCTGGAGGCAAGAGAGAATAAGACTTCCTTTTTTCCTGCAAGGAGTGGTTGGGACTGTCAGACCCCCACCCCAGAAACCTCCCCCAGCAGTAGGAAGCTCAGCACCCTCCCCTGCTTCCCCATGGGCCCTCAGCTGTGGGGGCAGGGTCACTGCTATGACGCGCAGCAGTCGGGACCCAGCACAAGTGGAGACTGCTTGAGTCCCCCTCACCCTGGGCTCCCGCTGTGTCTCTGCCTCTTAAAAGTACTACAAGCCCCTCGAGAGCTCCCCCCACCCCAGTTATCAACTAATCAAGTAGTCGATAGAAGTTCCATTGACTACTCCATTAGCTGATTAATCGAAATGTAACTTCCCTACCCCGACCTGCAGCCAGATTGTCCCACTTCCACAGTGAGTCATGCACAGCCTCCCCCTCATACAGATAGCGCTGCTGTGCCCAGGGAAACTGAGGCACACACAGAGTTACTCCAGAACAGCACAGGACAGTAGAATCACATACAGCACAACAAAGCAACCAGTGAATGCAAAACCAGAGTGAACACGGGACTACAAGAGTGGACAAAATCCCCACTATGTCACACCCTGGTGTGCTTCTGGGGCAGGCCCAGGCCTGGTGCTGTCAGGGCTGGGTGCTGCCTCACTCCTGAGGCTGCAGGGTGATCTCCCACCTTCATGCAGCCAGCAGCCTGTGCTGTCCCCTGCCAGGCTAGAGCCTTGGCGTGCGTTTATTGACCCATAAAAGGTGCAGGATTTTGCAGAATGCTAAGGCCTGGCGTGCAGGATTGGTCATTCGTTGGTGTGTGAGCAGGGTATTATGCAGGTGGGAGAAGTGTGTGTTTCTCTCATTCCCTGCTGCTCCTAGGAACAGGTCTAGAACTGCAAAAAGAGGGAAAGAAAGTCTGTTTCCCTGGGACAGGCTCGGGCACAGGGGCGGCCGCAGCCCATTGCAGAGAGGAAGATATTCCAGAGAGAAACCGTGTCCTGTGCTCCTGCCAGGACTAAGCTAAAATCGGTTACCTGGCTTGGTTTTAAGCCTGATTTGCCAGCATCATGTCAGCTGGCGCTATTACTCACAAGGTCTTCAACCCCACAGACCTTCCCTCTGGGACACAGAGCTCAAGTCGTTGACCTTGTTAGGGGTATTGGACAAACCTAGGTGTGCTGGCAGATCCCTCGGCACACACAGAAGGACCCGATCCCCTTAGGATCAAACCCATGGAGCTTTAGCTCACATCAGCGTTACCCCCTTACCTGGAGGAGTCAGAACAGCCTTGGGGCATCCCAGGGAGACTCTGCCTTCCACCTAGCCAAGCTGTGGTTCTGGCAGCCGCTTTCCTAGGAGTCTGTGCAATTCTCTTCATAAGTGCAGGGGCTGGTCCATGGCCCACTCGATAAACCTTAAGCCCTGCAAGAATTTCCCTGGCAAGTTGGACTCCCTGCCGCAGTGGCACCCGTTGGAGGCGAGCCCAGCCCCTGTGTGCTGAGGAGCTCAGCTAGCACAGCTGCAGAATGGAGGGTGCAGAGCTGAACCTCTCTCAGCTGCCCAGCGGCAGGCGTCTGTCTGTTGCTGGCACCACAGATGCCCAGGAGTCCCTGAGCGTGTGGATGCAAAGACCTGTCCTTGACCAGGCACCTCCTCGTCTGTGAGCCGGCCGTGCTGCATCCAGCAGAACACAATGTGTCAACAGTGGGACACTGCTGCATAAAAACACAGGATCGCGCCGGCGCCAAGGACTGCCAGGCCACAGCGTGATTCTAGGCGGCGTTCATGGGATTGCTGTGAGTGAGACACGAGAAGTCATTCTTCCCTCTGCTCTGCGCTGAGTAGGCCCCAATTGAAGTGTTGTGTCCAGTTCTGGGTGCCACGTTTCAGGAAAGATGAAACAAAAATGATGCAAGGTCTAGAGAACAGGAGCTAGGAGGGAGGCTGAAGGAACTGGGCTTGTTTAGTTTGGAAAGGAGAAGACTGAGAGGGGACGTGAGAGCAGTTTTCAAGTATCTAAAAGGGTCTCATGGGGAGGAGGGAGGAAAGTTGTTCCCCTTGGCCTCTGAGGACAGGACAAGAAGCAATGGGCTTAAACTGCAGCCAGGGAGGTTGAGGTTGGACACTAGGAAAAAGTTCCTACCTGTCAGGGGGGTTAAACACTGGAATAAATGCCCAGGGAGGTTGTGGAATCTCCATCCCTGGAGATATTTCCAAGCAGGTTTGACAAACACCTGTCAGGGACGGTCTGGATGGTGCTTGGTCCTGCCATGGGGGCAGGGGACTGGACTCAATGGCCTCTCGAGGCCCTTCCAGTCCTAGTGTCCTAGGATTCTATGAAATGTCTCCATGGATCCAGCAGGGGGCGCTCTCCCCCAGCCAGTGCGGTTCCAATTAACCAGTTAAATGGAGGGGGCTTGTAGTGGGGACTAGCTGTAGTGCAAAGTGAAGGGGTGGGAGGGATTTCTTGCAGCATGCTGCCCGCTCGCTCTGTGCTTGCCCTCACAGGGCCCGGTGAAACCCAGCCATTTCAGTGGGTGTTGGATCAGGCCCATAGAGCGAAAGGGATCCGTCCTCTTAACACGGTGGGGGCATCCCAGCTGCTTGCTTGCTTCTCACACAGTGCTGGGGCAGGTCGCGTGGGTAGGAGTCTGTACACAGCACCCAGCCCCTCTTCAGCTCCATCTCCCTGCAGTGCGCCTCATGCATTTCCAGCTGGGCGTCTGTCCAGGGACATGGCGCGCCTGCGATTTCCCTCCCCTGGCTTGAATGGCCCCACTTAGGCCAGGATGTTTCCCCTCTGTGGCGTCATGAACACTGATGGTTTTAGCAGGGCTGCTCCTGGCCCTGTGTCCCTCTGCAGACTGAGCCGAAGGGGGTTTCATATTCAGCAAGCAATCACCGTCAGGGCGTTCTACACCCAGAGCTCGCCCTGGCACTGGTACCCAGCCCCACAGAGACCTGAGCAGAGCACCGGAACCGCAGTGAGCCGGGCCAGGGATCAGCCAGCACAGCGCACAGGCCCTTGCCAGGCAGCGAGAGAGCAGGAGAGGGACTAGCTGCTGCTGCTGCTGGAAGGCGCCTGCCTGGCAGACTGTGGCTTTGTTTATTTGCTGAGCAGCTACATTGGGCAGGGCGGGGGTAGTGCAAGCTCCCCCCACACCGCCCCATCTGCGTGGTCCAACTAGGGAGGGAGACCCTATTTTCCCAAAGGGAAAATGAATGACACCGCATCCCCCCCCACACCAGGCCAGCCCGAGTCCCCCCTGCAGCCCACCCAAGGCCCCCTTGCTGACCCGCTGTCAGGGGCCAGCTGAGGTCTTCATCTCCTGTCCCTGCAGGCAGGCCCACTGACAGGGGGCAAAGAGGCCAGCTGCCCTGGGGCTCTCAGCTGCTACCACTGGCAGCGACCGGTGCCCTGGGCCCTTTAAATCGCCGCTGGAGTGCTAGATGGTGTGCTCCAGGCAGCTCTTAGGGCTGGAGAAGGGGCATGGTGCACTCCAAGTGGTGCAGCAGGGCTGGCTGCCCCCGGCTCCCCCTCTTCTGTCCCACCCCTTCCAGGAGCAGGGAGCCAAGGGCCCCCTTGCCCAGAGACACACAGAGGCTGTCAGTTCCCTGTCCACCCACACGGTGTGCAGTCACCCTGCTCCACAATGACCTGGGACAGCCTCGCTTGGGAGCTCGCACTCCAGGCCCAGACTATTCTGTCTCTCTGCACATGGGCAGTGGTCACGGGGGGATGTCGACAGCTGTCCACTAGAACTGGGCTGGGAACAATCAACTCATTTCACCGGGGCCCCAAGCAGCTCCCCTCTCACAGCTGCTGGTCACTGCCAGCCTGGGCCAGAGCCAGCGCAATGCCCTGCTCTGGATCCCATTACGCAGGGACACACAGTCCCTGCCAGAGAGGAAATATCGCCCAGGCCACTGCGGTTACTCTGTCCTGGCTTGGAAAAGGGCCACGGGGGAGCCTTACGCAGCAGGGGGTTAAAACTCCACAGCTGTTAACAAAGTAGCCGGTGGTCCCTTACACCATCACAGGATGTTTATGAGGTTGCTATAATAAAACCACCTGATCACAATGTGTCCTGCCAACCCGGAGACTTCAAAAGGCACAAAGAAAGTCAGAGGGTTGGATCCAAAATAATGAATGGGCTCATTTTGCCTCCTGGTTTGCAGTTTGAAGCTTTTCTCTGCAATCCCGAGGGCTAGAAATGTACAATCAAAAAGAACAAAAACTGAGAGTCCCACAAGCTGGGGCGTTAAAGAAACATCCCACGTCCTGAGACTCATGGTCGAGTTGTAAGAGCTGGCAAGATCCACACCAGTCAGTCTGTTTGGTGGCTGAACGTAGAGGGGGTGCAAGATCCCTGGTTCCTTGGATGGGACTGGAGAAACCCTCCACTATACAAGGGCCAGGTTCGTCCCAACCAGGAACAGAGCCCAATTCGATCCATTGCATGTCTCCAACGTCTGGTGCCTTAAGTCTCTGCTGCGCCCTTGGCTCACTGTGCTGTCAGTGCGACTGGAAGAGGTGGGGCTTGGGAAGAAGGGGGCGGGAGAAGCCAGCACGCTCCGCCTCCCAGAATACACCCCAGCGCCTCCCAAGCCCTCAGAGATGCAGTGCTCCGGTGGCAATCTAAAGGGCCGGGGCTTCAGCCGCCACCACTGCTGCAGTAGCAACGGTGGCAACTAGGAGCCCCAGACCTCTTTGAATCGCCAGACCCTAGGACCACTGCCCCCTCCCTGACAGCAGGCCTGCACAGACATGTGGCATGGGCAGGTTTTCATGGGCTTGGTACAAGGCACATCCTAGTCACAAAGGCCTGCTCCAACACACAGGGACCAAGTGTAATTTTTTCAGGCCCCTCCCACACTCATGCTACACTTTGTAGCCTGGCCTCCAGCCCTGGTAACGTTTACCCTGCCCCCCCCTTCCCACGGGGGCTCTGCCACCACTTAGGGACCCTGAGCCATCCAATTAAAAGGCTGCCAGAATTTGTTAACTTGGACAAGGTATTTTCCCCTAGCCTGTGTCTCAGAAATAGCAAAATCAGCTTGGTTAAAATTTCCCAGAAAATGTCAATCGAAGGCAGGTGTCTGGTGAGGAAAATTGCAGCTCAAATAGCTGAAGGTTGGCAAACTTCTAAACAATTTAAAATGGTATTATAATGGGAAGTGTCAGGCAGCTTTAATTATTGGCAGGGCTACCAGCCCTCCCTATTGAAAACATGCATCGACTTGTCTGTTTTGCTGCCTTTTTCTTCACTGGACAACCAAGAGAATGAACCCCAAACAGTCCTTTCGGTTCCAGAGAGACTCCACCCCGTACGTGTGATCTGTCTTCCTGGGTGAATTGCTCCAGCAGGATTCACTTCAGGAGTCCCAGCAGAGTCTCCACACCAGGGTTCCAGCCTGCACAGATCTGGCTGCTGCTTGTTCGTACGGCACAAACCTACTGGAGTTAGATCCAGGGACGATTCCCTACTGAGTTTCAGCATGTGACCATGAGGTGAGCTCCTTTTTGGGGCTAATAATGGCCATCCAAGTTTAGCTCAACATCCCCTGCCCCTGGGGACGCTTACAAAGAGACTCACCTAGAAGTAAATTCTTCCAGTAGCTCCTTTGCTTTGAGGGAGTCCAAGGAGCCTTTGTAACTCTGTAGAGGACAACAGGAGAGAGGGTTTATTTGCCTTGCTTGTTACAAAGTTGTGGAATTGCAGGTACAAAGAATAGGGCCAGTCTGAGCTTGGAGCAGTCCCTGTCCCAGACAGGAAGCTCTGCTTTGCAATTAAACACCAAAGCCCCACCGATCCTGGGCGCTGGGGGCGCTTTACATGAAAGCACAGAGGCTCTGTAACAGACAAGAGAACTCCAGCCTGTCTCTGCTGACGAGTGCTTTGCAGTGGCCTTTACACCCATGCTGAGCGGGTGTTCGGTGCCACCGCTCGGATGGGAGAGGGGGCTTCTGCCATTTTACGCAGAGGGAAATGATGAGGGTGCTGGCTGCAAAGGGCCAAGCCCCGAGAGCCCTGCCCCTGCGTGCCCAGCACTCGCTGCAAACCTTGGGTGGGTTCTCAGGACAGGCCGTTGTCTCTGATTGTTCCAACGCCCTGCACACAGGGCTGGATTGACACACAGGCTAAGTTAGCTACATGTCAGGGCCTCAGATTATGAGTGGCAAAAAACAATCACTAGTTTTTGGTTGCCCCCTCGTCTGCATACCTGCACAGGCGCCCATGGAAACCTGTAGGCTACGTATACACTGGCACCCTTTTCCGGAAATGCTTAAAACGAAACAGTTTTCTGTTATAAGTATTTCCGGAAAAAGCGCGTCTACATTGGCAGTAGCACTTTTTCCGGAAAAGCATCCGTGCCAATGTAGACGTGCTTTTCCGCAAAAAAGCCCCGACTGTCATTTTCACGATCGGGGCTTTTTTGCGGAAAAGAAACCTGTGCTGTCCGCACTGGCCCTTTTCCGGAATAGTTTTCCGGAAAAGGACTTTTGCCCAAACGGGAGCAGCATAGTTTTTCCGGAAAAGCACTGATGATTTTACAGTAGATCGTCAGTGCTTTTCCGGAAATTCAAGGGGCCAGTGTAGACAGCTGGCAAGTTATTCCGGAAAAGCGGCTGATTTTCCGGAATAAGTGGCCAGTGTAGACACAGCCATAGTGTTTCCAGTTTCACTGTTGGCTCTGCTAGAATGACACGCGCTTGGGCAGTGCGCTGGGGTCTCTTAAACATGACATGGCTTGACGGCCCTGAATCGGCCCTGCCCCGCAGGAACCTGCTCAGAGGGGCTCCAAGCTCTTACAGCAGCTCCACAGTTCCTGGTGCAGTGACCTGGGCCCGCAGTATCCCGGCCAGAGGAGCTGTGCTCCGCTTTAAGCGACCTTTCCTCCTCTGGATCCTGGAGTGCTCTGGCCAGGGGACGTCGGGGGCCAGGAAGGAATGGGAAGCCAGTGCGTCTGTGGCTGGGAAGGCAGGCCAGGACGGGAGCGCTCTGCCCAGTCACTCAGCTGTCTGCAGTGTGGTTGCTCCCAGGGGACCAGACTAACAGTCCCTTAGCGCATGCACCTGGCTCTGTAGCAAATACGAGCACACGGAAGATCCCAGTTCCAGCCCCCTCGCTCCCAGCTGTGGCTCCCTTGCCTCGCAGGTCCCACCTCCTGGCCTCGCTCTGCTGCGTGGCTGTTGGGGCAGGACGGCTCAGTGGCTCCGAAATGAACTCATGCCCTTTGCCTCTGGGCCTGGCTCCAGTGCCAGGGACACCACAGTGATCACTCCGGGCGCCATATGGAGTCAGGCAGGGAAGAGGCTAAATCCCTTGCAGGGGAGCAAAGCAGAGGCCCTGCCCTAGGCAGTAGGAGCAGCTTGGCCTGCCAGCTCAGAAGAGGCAGAGCAGATAATGGAGCCAAGATCCCACATCCTAGGCTAGTGCACTAACCACTGCACCATCCTTCCTCCCCCAGCATGCCTTCCCACTTCTCCTGGTTCCCCCTCTGCCTCCCTCCCCTTCTCTAACCCTGTCCTTTCGTCGCCTCCAGCTCCAGCCCCCATGGCTCTGTTCGCTCTCCCCTTGCGCGACCTCCCACTCCCTCTGACGCGGGCTCCTGACTGGAGCTGAGCCAGTGAACTGTGCAGAAATTCTGAGCTGGAGCCTGAACGAAACTCCCACCTTGCGCCTGTCTCTCCGTCGGCTCCTTCCCGGGACACCCGGAGCCAGAGCAAGCGGGTGCTTAGGAGAGAGCGGGAGGTAAGCCCGCTGGAGGGAAGGGAAATGGCCAGCGAGTGAGGACAGCTTCGGGCAGCGCTCCTCAGAACGAGGGCAAGAGGCCTTGTGTGCAGAGACGATCCCTGCCTGGTGAGAGCCGCGAAGCACTGGAAACACGGCAGGAAAGCAGAAGGGTCTCCGGAAAGGAACTCCGTCCTTGGCTCCCGGTGCCGCTGCCCGGTGCCAAGCTGCGTACAAAGGTTTCTGCTTGTTGTGTCTCTCCACCACTCTGTGTCACGCTCCACCAGTCTCCCGCCCTCCCTCCCGTCTTCTCTTCCACGTGTCCCTCCCCCCCCCCGCTCTCACCCCCTTCTCCGCAGCCCTTCTCCTGGCACCCCTCACATACTGCGCGTTCCCCAGCCCCACGTGCAACGCCTGTTGCCGGCAGGTTGGGGCCCAGTGCCCTCACGCTGTCAGGGAGCTGGGATCCTTGGTGTGCGGGTTGCACTGAAAGGAATAGCCTTTTACTCAAGAAAGGGAGACTCGGAGCATCAGTCCAGAGACGCTGTGGGCGGATGTGTGGCCAGTGTGTTGCTCTGCAGGGGCACCTCGCTGCTGCCCTGGCACCCTGATTTCCCCACTTGCAGCTCGGCCAGGGTGCCCGAACTCTGACCCATAGCCCCCCCCCCTGCAGTGTGCGGGTTGCACTGAAAGGAATAGCCTTTTACTCAAGAAAGGGAGACTCGGAGCATCAGTCCAGAGACGCTGTGGGCGGATGTGTGGCCAGTGTGTTGCTCTGCAGGGGCACCTCGCTGCTGCCCTGGCACCCTGATTTCCCCACTTGCAGCTCGGCCAGGGTGCCCGAACTCTGACCCATAGCCCCCCCCCCTGCAGGCTGGATCTCACCCCTCCCCGCCCAGCCCCGGGGCCCCCACACTCAA